TGTAGAAATCCTCTGGCTACCAACCTTGCTTTATGTTTGCCAATTGAACCATCTGGCTTTAACTCCTGCTTGAAAACCCATCTAACGCTGATGGCTTTCTTGTCTTTTGGAAGTTCTGTCAGCTTCCAAGTCTTGTTTCTCTCTATAGCATCAAGTTCTTCTTTCATGGCCTTCAGCCAGAGCTTCTGCTTAAGAGCCTCTTCTATACTTATGGGTTCAGAGTCTACCATCATGGCACACTGAATAACTTCTCCTTCAGAGTCTACTTCAACGTCTTGCAGCATGTCAAATTCTGCATATCTTCTGGGGACGTTTCTGATTCTTTGTGGTCTCTGAACTTGTTCAGAGTCTTGGGCTTCAGATGATTGACTTTCTCTAGAGCTTTGACCAACTTCAGGATCTGGCATATTTCCAGAGTCTTGAACTTCAGAATTTCTAGCTTCAGAGGCTTGACTTCCTCCAGAGCCTTGGCCATCTTCAGAGTCTGGATCATCAGAGTCACCTTCATCTTCTGAGTCTTCTCCAGAGTCAGAATCACTATCAGAGTCAGAATCTACGTCAGAATTTACTCCAACTTCAGAAATTCTTAACTCTGACCTTTCTTCAGGAGTTCTAACATCAGAATCAGAATGAGACTTATCCCAATTCCAAACTTCTGATTCCTTCACAATCACATCTCTGCTGAATTCAATTTTATTGGTTTCTGGACAATAGAGCTTGTATGCACCTGTACTGTGGTACCCTATCAGAATCATCACTTTGCTTCTATCATCCAGCTTCTGTCTTCTGGCTTCTGGAACATGTTTATAGCAAACAGAACCAAACACCTTCAGATGACTAACATTTTGCTTGTCTCCAGTCCACTTCTGCATAGGAACTATTTCCTTCAACTTCTTCGTAGGACATCTGTTGAGTACATACGTTGCAGTGGCAACAGCTTCTCCCCAGAGCTTCTGAGGAAGCTTCTTCTCCTTTAGCATGCTTCTCACCATATCAAGCAAAGTACGGTTTCTTCTTTCAGCAAGACCATTGTGTTGAGGGGTATAAGGAGCAGTAACCCCATGCTCAATTCCATTCTCCTCACAAAACTTCTGGAACTCTTTGGAGTTATACTCTCCTCCACCATCAGTTCTAAGAATCTTCAACTTCTGACCACTCTGATTCTCAGCCTTCATTCTGAACTTCTTGAATTCATCAAACACCTCATGCTTAAATTTAATAAGGGATACCCATGTCATTCTTGTGAATTCATCAACAAACAACACAAAGTACTTATTCCCTCCAATTGATGCTACTGGAAATGGACCACACACATCAGAATGTACAACTCCCAAGGTATGTTTTGCTCTTGGAGCAGCTTCTGACGCAAATGGCAATTGTGGTTGTTTTCCTTCCATGCAAACTTTGCATGATTTTTCAGGCTTCTTAATTGCAGGAATTCCATGTACCAACTTCTTTGAATTCAGATGTTTTAAGCTTCTGAAATTCAAATGACCAAATCTTCTGTGCCACAGCTCACTCTCCTTCTCAACACATGTTGCACTAAGACATTCTGAGTCTGCAGTTCTGACATTCACCTTGAATGTTCTATTCCTTCCTTGTTCTGACTCCATAATCAACTTCTGATTGCAGTCATACAGCTTCAGAAGATTATCCTTCATGGTAACTGAAAAACCTTTCTCAATTAATTGTCCCACACTCATCAGATTGCTTCTGATGCCAGGTACATACCACACGTTCTGAATCAATGCTGTTTTCCCATTGTTCAGAATCACTCTGACATTTCCCATACCTTCTGCATTAAGATATTTGTCATCAGCACATCTGATCTTTGTTCTCTTTTCAGAGTCAAAGTCAACCAGCTATTTCTTGTTTCTAGTAAGATGATTTGAACAGCCAATGTCCATATACCACCATTCTATCAGATCCATATTATCAGATTCAGAAGCCATCAATAGCATAGATTCGTCATCAGAACTTCTGGCTATATTTGCTTCTTCTGATTTTCTCTCCTTGTTTGACCAATAATCTCTAGCAAAGTGACCAAACTTCTTACAACAGTAACATTGGATCTTCTTCTTGTCATACTTCTCTTTTCCCTTATGAGCATTCTTTTGTCTATCAGAGGTTGAGCTTTCTGACTTCTGACCACCATCAGATCTTCTCTTAGCTTCTGACTGCTTCTGATACCTCCTATCAGAAGTTGCTTTCAGAGCCTGCTGCTCTACTTCCTTTTCAGAAGTTCTCTCAGTCAAACGCAACTCTTGCGCTTCTAGACTGCTCTGCAGCTCTTCAATTCTCATGGTGCTCAGATATTTGGAATGTTCTATTGCTACCACAATGTAATCAAATTGAGGAGTAAGGGTTCTCAATACTTTCTCCATGATTGTTTCTTCTGAAAGAGTTTCTCCACACGTCTTCATCTCATTAGTGATCAGAATCATTCTGGAGATGTATTCAGAGACTTTCTCATTATTCTTCATGTTGAGATTCTCATATTGCTTTCTCAAGGACTGAAGCTTCACCTTCTTCACTGATGCGTCACCACCATAACATCTAACCAGTGTGTCCCACGCAGCCTTTGCTGTCGTTGAATCTGCAATCTTCTCAAACACATTTACATCAACACATTGATGAATGAAGAATAATGCTTTCTGATCCTTCTTCCTTACTTCCTTCTGCGCGTTTTTCTGTTCATCCGTTGCATCTGCTGCTACCGGAACATAACCATCAGTGACAAGATCTAAAACATCTTGAGCACCAAACAGTACACGCATTTGGATCATCCAACGATTCCAGTTTTTACCGTCAAATACTAGAAGCTTGGTGTTCATGTTGCCGTTTCCGTTCATCTTCACCTTGCACAATACACTCAGATTTCTCACACAGTGTTTCCCAACCCACAGAATTAAAATTCTGATCAGATTTTGTTCAAGATTCAACACGAATCTAAGAATCAAAATCAAACACACAAGACCTCACGTTCACTCGTGTTTCCCGTGTTTCCCAATGAATCTGAACCGGAGCTCTAGATACCAATTGTTGGTGCAAAGGTGAATAAATGATCAACAAAGGAAATATTATATTAAGAATAACGGCTACAAAAACATGATAAAAGTTACAATGATTGTCACCCTATTTATAAGCTAAAACTATAGTTACTAGAATAAGATAAAATACTAAAATTCCCTCTAACAAACTTAGGGGTTAAGAAAATAGTACAACTAAATAAATATGAATTACTATTAATATTCTAATAGAAATAACCACCTCAAATAATGCAGCTTTAGACCTATTTAACGTATTATGTACTTTGATTTGTGATTCTTTTAATGAATAATTCTAATATGTTTGAGTTGAGTTGTTTAAATCTATATTATATATATTCCATTTTGAATTTGTAAAATAAAACTCGATCTCTTATTAAAATTCCGCTTACAAAATATATTATTATTAAAACAAAATCATATCTATAAATTTTTAAATAACATGTTATTTTTATTTTTAATTATCCATTCAATTATTGAATATCACAATAAAGAAGAAAATCAAAAATTCTATTTACATGTTAAATAGATGTTTTTTTATAAATAAATTAATTTATCTAATTTAAAAAAAAATGTTATATTACATAAACATGAAATAAATCAAATAATTATAAAGAGAAAGCGTGAGTTTTAATAAATACTACTACCGTTTTATATTAAATATCATTTTTGTTGATATCACACATATTAAGAAATAAATAATAATAAAAAAGAGTTATTCTTACCAAATCATTTGATTAACTATTGATTTGTTTTAAACCTTATAACGGTAAAATAAAATTTAACATCATATCACATCCTTAAATACAAGATTCACACTTTCTGTATTTATACTTCTTTATCACTTTCAAACTCTCACACATATTAATAATTTTCAAAATAACATTTCTATTAAATTTTCATTTTTATAATATCATTCAATATAACTGAAATTAATAAAAACAAAAAAACAAAATGCTGTGAGACGGTGAGTGAAGTGAAGCCTTCTCTCTCTCTCTCTCTCTCTCTCTCTCTAAATCATCCGATCTGACACAAGCACACGCTCTCTTCTCTTTCTCCATCTTATTACTAAATACACACCCCAAAACAATGGCGGTTCAGTTTCTGTCTTCATTAACGCAATTAACCATACTAACTGAAAACTCTGTCACACAGACAGAAATAAACCGCTAAATCAACACTACTGTAGATTATTATTATTATTATTATTACTACTATTATAGTCGTAAGAAGACCACGGTCTTCGCCGCCGCTTCAACTACCCGAATAAAAAAACCAGTCACTGCATAAAAACCCGACCCGGTTCATTTCGCACTTTTTTATAAAGGAGGTTTTGAGAACACTGTTTTCTTGTCCCCTCCCTTCAAAAAGATAACTAGTGTGAACTGCTTACGTTTTTTTATACTTGGTCGTTTTCTGTTACAACGTTAGTGTTTCTACTTCTGGTTTTGGTTCTGTTTCTGTTTCTGGTTCTGCTCATTCTCTCACCTTCATTTTCTACTCATTTTTTTCTTGAGATCCGGTGCTCCTTGGGATTTGTTGCTTCTTTGTCTGAGATCTGTTTGATTTTTCTGAGTTTGGTGGTGAGGCAAAAATAACTGGATATTTGGGATTGAAGTTGTTGTATCATGGTTGAAGATAGGATTGGGAGCGAATGAAGGGTACAAGGGAAACGGTGGTGTTTTATAGTCAGACTGATTTTGGTTGAAGATTGAAATGGGTGGGAATCTTTTGTTTTAGTTGGTTTTTGACTGTTCAGGCAATTTGGTGTCTGTGTTTTGGTTGGTGATAGAGATAAGAAGAATGGTGTTGTGGAGTAGGAAAGAGGAGAGCAAGAGGATTTGTTTTTGGTTTGGGGTTCATCTTGTGGGAATTTGTGTGATTGAAAAGCATTGATTTTGGGTTTTGGTTTGGTTTGGTTTTAACTTTTGTTAAGGTTTGAAATTTACTGAAATGAAGCTTTCTTCAGCTGGTTTTAGTCCTCCACCTCAGGAAGGTAGGTGAATTTCTGTTTCTGTCTGTATATGTATACTCTTCATCTTTTTTGGTGAATTTTTTATTCATTTTTGGGATTAGAATGCTATTCTTCTTTTAGATTTAGAAAGGTTTTTTTGCATCTTTTGTTGTTTTAAGATCTCGACTTGACTTAGAACATGTCAATTTTGCTTTGTTCTTTGAGGGTTTTAGGTGTGAAAGTTATGAAGTTTCTGTTCCATGTTGATGACATTAGGATGCATTTTTTGTAGGAGAAAAACGGGTTCTAGATTCAGAACTTTGGCATGCTTGTGCTGGTCCTCTTGTTTCTTTGCCAGCTGATGGAAGCCGTGTGGTCTACTTTCCACAAGGTCACAGCGAACAGGTGAGTCAGATATGTATTTGACTTGTGTCTTTCTGATGCAATGGGCTGCTAATTTTAAGTGTATGTTTGGATTGGCGGTGCGTTTGGCAGAATCACGGCGTGACGCCGTGTTTTTTGGATTTTCAAGAAAACCATGAGGCCGCCGTGATTTTGTCAGATTGGTCGGGATTCCAAATGCGTTGAGTTGTATTAAGAAAACTGACTTTATTCTTCTGTTATAGCGACCCTTGTGTAAACTAATGCTTAACTTACTCCTAAGTGCCATAATTCTAACAGTTGCAGATTAATGGATTAACTATTAAGTATTAACTATTTCAATCTCCCTCCCTGAAACTAGCGCATGAATTTGTACATTTGAAAACTTGTATCATCTTTTTCGATTTGCATGCATGATCTAAATCAGCATTTTTCTGCTCAGGTTGCTGTATCTACCAACAGGGAAGTTGATACTTATATCCCCAATCCAAGCTTACCTCCCCAGCTTATTTGTCAACTTCATAATCTTACTATGCATGTAAGGCTTTTTTATTCATTTATCTATTTTTTACTATACAGTATTAAGACTTGTTTATTTTGTTCCATATGCTTATTCTTACCCTCGTATTTGGTTCATTATTTGTTCATTTCTGTTGGATTCAGGCAGATACAGAGACAGATGAAGTGTATGCACAAATGACTTTGCAACCTCTAAATCCTGTATGATTCTATTTCTTTAATGAACTAGTTTTTTTTTACTATAAATTTTATGTCTAAATTCAACTTTTGAACTTTTGGCTATGGCCGTGTTTTCAGGATGAGCAAAAGGAGGCATATCATCCTGCAGAGTTGGGAACTGCAAATAAACAGCCGACAAACTACTTTTGCAAAATTTTGACTGCCAGTGATACAAGCACTCATGGGGGTTTCTCTGTTCCTCGCCGTGCAGCTGAAAAAGTTTTCCCTCCACTGGTAAATTTTGTCATTGTTATGCTGTAATGTGTAAGTAAATTAACATGTGCATCAAATCTATTAACTTGACTTTGTTATTATGGCCTACAGGACTTTTCCCAACAGCCTCCTGCTCAAGAGTTGATTGCAAGGGATTTGCATGGCAATGACTGGAAATTCAAACATATCTTCCGCGGTGAGTTATGAATCTCAGATCGAGATTACTCTGATGAAAATAATTTCACATTTATAAGGATTAAATCTGGCGTTTTTTTTTCCTCCAGGCCAGCCCAAAAGGCATTTGCTTACAACTGGGTGGAGTGTCTTTGTGAGTGCTAAAAGACTCGTTGCTGGAGATTCAGTGCTGTTTATATGGTATATAATTTTTTCGGTTATGTATATATGAAATTTAATCTTTGGCAATTTCATGGTTTATTGACTTGTTTCAGCACTGATTCAGAACATGTAATTTATAACTCATTTAGCCATTCAGAAGATAGAGTTAACTTCATTGATTAAGTAGTATTTTATGATTTGTGTGATTTAGGTTCTTTTTTCTTCGGCAGGAATGAAAAAAATCAGTTGCTTCTAGGCATTCGGCGTGCCAACCGACCACAACATATGATGCCTTCATCAGTGTTGTCAAGTGACAGCATGCACTTGGGGCTGCTTGCTGCTGCAGCTCACGCCGCTGCAACGAACAGTCGTTTCACCATTTTCTATAACCCACGGTATAATTCATATATTTCTAAAAGTTCCTAGTTATAATATAGTTACATCAATTGACATTTTCTTTCTTGCATTTCAGTGCTAGCCCATCAGAATTCGTCATTCCCCTAGCGAAGTATGTTAAAGCTGTATATCACACTCGAGTTTCAGTTGGTATGCGCTTCAGAATGCTTTTTGAAACAGAGGAATCTAGTGTTCGGCGGTAGGTTTTTTATAATTTTTAAAAATAATAGACGAAATGCAATATAATGTTTGAAGTCACACATGATTTGAAAAATTATTGTCTTGTGTTGGATTGTTACTTTGGTTTTCTCATGTGAAGTTCTTTACTAATACTAATCTATATATATATATATACTCACGCAGATACATGGGAACAATAACTGGCATCAGTGACCTGGATTCTGTCCGGTGGCCAAATTCACATTGGCGCTCAGTAAAGGTCTGTATTGAAACATTTAAATATCAAATTGATGATATATAACTAAATTGAATGCTGTTTGCATCTTCAAATGAACACTAACAATATCTTGCTTCGGAAAATATTACGTTGTATTGAGGATTGAATAAACATTTTTAATTGTGGCTTTGACTTGAGTTGTAGGTTGGGTGGGATGAATCCACAGCAGGTGAGAGGCAACCTAGAGTGTCTCTTTGGGAAATTGAGCCGTTAACAACATTTCCGATGTATCCATCTCCATTCCCTCTTAGGCTTAAACGACCATGGCCTCCAGGTCTTCCTTCATTCAACGGTATGTATCACCACATTTAAAGCCATAAAACTTTTAAGATTTTTTCGACTATATATGCTGTGTTTGGATAAGCTTTAATAAGTTAATCTAAACAGACCCTATAAAATGCTTATGTTTATTTCATTTGTTAGTTTACTATTCTGCTCATTTTCATTGATCGTCCCGGTAAATGCTAGCAGGCTTGAAGGATGATGATTTTGGCATGAATTCTCCACTATTATGGCTTCGAGACGCAGATAGAGGGCTTCAAACTCTTAATTTTCAAGGGATGGGTGTTAATCCTTGGATGCAGGCGAGGCTCGATCCATCATCTATGATGAATTTGCAACCAGATATGTACCATGCTATGGCAGCTGCTGCACTTCAAGATATGAGGACATTAGATCCTTCTAAACAGCATCCTGCTTCCATGCTTCAATTTCAGCAGGCACAGAATTTTCCCAACGGTACTGCCGCTTTAATGCAGAGCCAGATGATGCAGCAGTCTCAACCTCAGCATGCTTTTCCAAAAAATCAAGAACATCAGCATCCATCTCAATCTCAGGCTCAAACCCAACAGTTCCAGCAGCTTCTTCAGCATCAGCACTCATTCACTAATCAAAGTTATCATCAACTGCAACAGCAGCAACATCAGCAACATCAGCAGCAGCAACAGCAGCAGCAGCAGCATCAACAGCAGCAACAACATCAACATCAGCAGCACCAACATCAACAACTGCAACAGCAGCAGCAACAACAATCAAAACAGCAACAAGTTGTAGATCATCAGCAGATTTCAAATGCCGTCTCTACAATGTCTCAGTTTGTTTCGGCACCTCAATCTCAATCAACGCAGCCCATGCAAGCTATCTCTTCAATTGGCAATCAGCAACATTTTTCTGATTCAAATGGGAACCCTGCAACTACTGCAATTGTTTCTCCTTTGCACAATATGTTAGGGTCATTTTCAAATGACGAAACATCTCACCTTCTCAACTTCCCTAAACCAAACTCCTGGGTTCCGGTTCAATCTTCAACAGCATGGCCCTCCAAGCGTGTTGCCTTGGATCCTCTTGTTTCTTCTGGAACATCTCATTATGTTCTGCCTCAAATGGAGCAGCTTGGGCAGTCACAAACTACCATGTCTCAAAATGCTATTACCTTGCCACCATTTCCTGGTAGGGAGTGTGCTCTCGAAGGGAACACTGATCCACAAAACCATCTTTTGTTCGGTTTTAACATAGAGCCCTCGTCACATCTAGTGTATAACGAGATGTCAAACCTTAAGGGTGTCAATAGCAACTGTGACTCATCAAATGTGCCTTTTCAATCTCCTACCTACCTGAATAACACAGGCGCTGATTCTTCATTGAATAATGGAATGGCACACGGTGTTGGCGAGTCGGGATTCCTACAAACTTCTGAAAATGGAGGTCAAGGAAACTCACCAAACAAAACCTTTGTGAAGGTGAGTTTTTTCTGCTGGGACTACTCTCCTTTGAATCAATATTTTAGTTTTCACTCTTTTGCTTATTTTTAAGAGTTGACTTAGTGAAACCCTGCATTTTAACATGCTAATTTTTCTCTTTTCACAGGTTTACAAGTCAGGGTCCTTCGGAAGATCGTTGGATATCACAAAATTCTCTAACTACCCCGAGCTACGCAGCGAGCTTGCTCGTATGTTTGGGCTTGAAGGTGAGTTGGAGGACCCTGTAAGATCAGGCTGGCAGCTTGTATTTGTTGATCAAGAGAATGACGTTCTTCTCCTCGGTGATGGCCCGTGGCCGTAAGTACTCCACATCCATCGTTTGTTCTTTGCTTTTTTTCTTGCCTTTTTAAAAACAGTGAAATAGAGAGAAATCGGGGAGTATGTTTTTTTTAATCATATATCCATATGATATAGTTTTTTGAACCCTGAGTTTACACAATCTTCTTCATTGTTTACTGATTCATTCGATCGGTTGGATGACAGGGAATTTGTAAATAGTGTATGGTGCATCAAGATTCTTTCCCCTCAGGAAGTGCAGCAAATGGGAAACAATGGACTAGAGCTTCTAAACTCAGCTCCAACTCAGAGGCTCTCTAATGGCATCTGTGATGACTACACCGGCCGCGAGGACCCGAGAACTCTAAGCACAGGTTTAACATCTGTGGGGTCTTTAGACTACTGAACGTCGTCGTGACAACAAATACTGTGAATTTCTTCTCTCTTGTATTATTATTACTCTTCTCAAACCCTCTAAAAAATGGTGGGAAGTTGTTCCTAGTTGTAGCTTATAGCTTACTCATAAGCCTTTTGTTTCTCGTTTTTATTGCCTAAAACAATTCATGAGCTAAACATTTAGCTATATGGCAACTTCTCATTGTAGTTTCTATAATACATTGGAGAATTCAACTTAAGTTACTTTAAGTGAGTCCCATTATTAAACTCAACAATCTCTTCTATAAGAACGATTTTTACGTTATGATTACGCGGCGTTACAAGCGAGAAAAACCATTATACTGGACCTTGTTGACCTTTGATGATTGCTGGTGTAATTGTTTGGTAAAACCTGTGATGCATGAAGATAAAAGTGGTTGATAAGTGATAAAAAGATGCTGCTGAATTTTTTGACCTTTGTGATAGTTAAAACTTATTGGGAATATTGATGTGACATATAGAACATGAAGAGGACACCAAAACCATGTGATGTGTCTGTATGAACATACGAGGGAGAGAAAAAAGAGTACTTTTGTGGTTCAATTAATGTGAAAGTGGCCTCTGCTTTGTAGTATTATTCTTGGTTTTGGCCCATTCATACTTTCACTTTGGTTTGTGGTGATTGCTTTGCTCCATGAATGGCAAAGCTAAAGCTGTACGTTTGTCTATTCCTTACCGTACTATGCATTTTTGGAATCTAAAGAAAAGCATGATGCCACCTCTATCTAAAATGTCCTTTATATTTATGACCACTATCTCTTTCTTTCATCAAGTGGATGGCAAATTGTCAAGCTTAAAACATGTTTTGCTTTCGGTTTTTAATTACATATTTCATGAAAATTTAGAGCACACGTTCATTCTGATCCTTAAATTGTCCAGATAGTTTCACTTCAATCTTGCAAGTAAGATTCCGTTGATAGTGGCATCTAGTTGGTAACGGTGTAGCTGCCTCTCAATGCTAGGATTTAGAGCTTCACAAAATCAAGTTGAAAAGTGCATTGGAACTTGAGAAAATAGTCCTAAACGCCTATCTAAATAGGCAATCAGCGTGTTTAAATAGGCAATCACTAGTCGGAGTGTTAACAGTCTCACATTAGATAATATATGATATGAACATGTGTTTATGAGTGAATATAATACTCATTTTAAAAGTCGGTTTTGTAGGATTGAGTTGAGCTCAATCACAGTTTCTAACATAATATACATTGAACCACTTGTTATCTGATTAAATTTTCGTAGTTCTGGGCGTGAGTCGGAGCAATCATCTCCTTTGAAAGCCCATGAATTTGAAGGAGATATTTTTCACTATTGATTCCACTTTTATATTGTGGGGTTGTTTCCTTAATCTTGAGCTTTATTAAGGGTATGGAAAGGTGACAAGGCACTATCCACCATCCACCACCAAGACCAATAAAACAAGGTAGGGTTGGCATTCCAATAATCTTATAGGTCACCCCTTTTGTTGAAGATACATTTTATCTCATTCTTACTTTCACTTTCTTACGTATATCTGGCATATTTTTCTGTCATCCATAACATGACCAAAAAGGTTGTAGCAAAGTGACAACCTTGTTTAATACGTGCATACACCATGTCTGTTGTTTTCACCGTAAAAATTGGCGCTACATCTGCATTTCTTTGTCATCAATTGTTTAGACATGTGCCTCTCTAATGTAGATATGCCTAACTTTTTTTTCACCTTAACTAGGAAATATTTATGGTACTTGTAATCATTTTCCTCTTGATTAATCATATGTTTCTAGTACTCTTCATTTGATTAATCACATGTTTCTAGTACTCTTCATTGGATTGATCCGTTTGGTTGGATTCAGAATGAAATATGCCTTAATTATGTCTTAAGAAATACAATGGTTTTTCTATATTGCACATCTAGCAATTGCAATGTTTTGTGTTACTTGTAAACACTACCTAATGAGATTGGTTTGTAATCCCTAAGTTCCTATTTATTTTACCAACCTACTTAACAATTAATAACATATTAGATATTGACTTGCACAGCAACAGAGACGGAAAAAAGTTTTATATATATATATATATATATATATATATATATATATATATATATATATATATATATATATATATATATATATATATATATATATATATATATATATATATATATATATATATATATATATATATATATATATATATATATATATAAAGACCAAAAGTTTTTATGAATTTATTTTAGTTGATTGATATTGACTTCATTTCTCTCACTCATCAATATGATGAGGTTGATAAAACAAAGGTTAACTTTTTTAAATTTAAGATCACTAAAGTTCGGTTTCTGTCCGATTGAGGTCAACTGCCAGCAGAAAGTCGCTCCTTCTTCATACCTTCTTCTCAAAATACTTTCAATTACTTTGATTATATGGAAGTTTGGACAAAATTCTTAGTTATTGAACCTTTCAACCATATTTGGTTCATTTGGTTCAACAAAGATATTTCATTAAACTTTTCTTATAGGTTCATTCTCAGATTACGCTGTTAAGTCTTTCAATGAATTTATCCCAGTGACTACTTGTCTGCCGCACAAAGCACTATTATCATTTTGTACAGTTTTTGACACTCCTTGGGTTAGCTCTTGGACTTTTTCATCTGAGTTATTATGGAAAGACTGCCCTACAACATAGTTACTTAAAAAAATTTCAATCAAATTTAATCCAGAACTATTATCTTTAATAAAGTTGGAGGCATGGTGCAAAGCAAATACAAACCTTTACAAAAATACAAACTTATGTTCTCGAGATGTTGTTTTTCTCATGGACCGGTCTAAGTTACTAGCAACCTTATATGTTGTAGGTCTCAATGAATTTTTGTCTAAATTAAAAGAAGTTATTTATGTTTTGTCTGACATTAAAAATGAGTCTAGTACCTCGACAACTTGAATAAAAATGAAGAAGACTGTTACGGTATTACTGATCTTGATGGTTAAAGTTTAAAAATATGATTTGGATTATTGATTAGACTCGTTGAAGATAAGATTTACTAAAGATTATTTCAGAAGATAAGCTTGAACTATTTTTAGAAACAAGATTCGTTATGGTATTATTATAGGTCATGTGAGTCACCTTATCACATTATCTTTGTTGTTATGGTACTGTTATAGGCCATGTGAGTCACTTTATCGTATTATCTTTGATTTCTCTTTTGGCTTTGTCCGCCATGTATCTGTGATGTTTTCAATTTTATTTCAAGTCCGTCTTATACCATTCTATATATCCGAGAATGAAGGTTGTCATGAAGACTTGGAACCTTTCAAGTGAGAAACCTTGACGTCTAAAAGCCTCTTGTAACCTCTTATTCTTGTAACCTCTTGTAAGTATTTTGAAATAATATCATGTTGTATAGTAGCTTTGTTCTTATTTTCACATTTATTTTAACAACTTTGATTATTGAAACCATAATTTTCACTATTATCATTTTTACTTTAATCTTATATATATATATATATATATATATATATATATATATATATATATATATATATATATATATATATATATATATATATATATATATATATATATATATATATATATATATATATATATATATATATATATATATATATATATATATATATATATATATATATATATATATATATATATATATATATATATATATATATATATATATATATATATATATATATATATATATATATATATATATATATATATATATATATATATATATATATATATATATATATATATATATATATATATATATATATATATATATATATATATATATATATATATATGGAATGTAAGAATTATGGTTTCAATAATACCATTTAGTGAAGTATTCTAAAATTCTTTTTTTTTTTTTGAAAATTTGATAAAGATTAATGAAGATGGTGATGAAGATGAAGATAGGTAAAAAATATTAGGCGTTGATGATGTACTGGAATAATAAATAAACTGTCAAGATCCAACAGTGTACAATTCTTCAAAAAGATCAAATGGTTAAAATTAAAAAAAAAAAATTTAAGTCTATAGTAGACACTCAACAATAGTGTCTCATCTAAGATATTTAAAGTTAAAAGTTAACGGAATTGATTAAATTGGTTAACGGAATAGTTTTTAATGGACTAAAATGTAACGTTTATTAGATAAGGGATCCAAGTAAAATCATAAATTAAATTAAGGGACTAAAAGATGAATTAAGTATTTATTTTAATAATGGAGAAGAGAGAAAAAACACACATAATCTCCACCATTTATTTTAAAATCTAATGGTTCAAATTCATTCTTATGTTCTCACGTAAAAATGACATTTTCATTTGATATGTTCTATATATATATATATATATATATATATATATATATATATATATATATATATATATATATATATATATATATATATATATATATATATATATATATATATATATATATATATATATATATATATATATATATATATATATATATATATATATATATATATATATATATATATATATATATATATATATATATATATATATATATATATATATATATATATATATATATATATATATATATATATATATATATATAAATGAATATGAACCATTGAATTAAAATATATTTCTAAAATTGATTATTAATTTCTCCCTCCTCTTAAAAACGTCCACAATTTTGGATTTTTGGCATATGATTAAGCATATATATATATATATATATATATATATATATATATATATATATATATATATATATATATATATATATATATATATATATATATATATATATATATATATATATATATATATATATAATTTTGATATATATTTCAAAAAAAATTAATTAATTTTATTTTCTAATTTTAAATGAGAAATGAGATAAAAAAATTTAAAAGAAAATACTAATAATAATAAAAATCTATAATATAAGAAAATTAGATGTTGTAGAAAACACATTTACACCCTTACTTTTT